CACATACAGCAACTAGAAGGATGTGCAGCTGTGACATACAACTATCTACTGGGGCTTTGAGGGGAAAAATAAATAAATAAATTTAAAAAAAAAAAAAAAAAAGAATTTAATAACCAGAGAGTCTACCACTTACAATGCTGAATGTCTTCTGGTCCAGCTCTTCAGATTCTTCAGATATGGGAACTGGCTCACCACTTGCAGTGATATGAACTGGAGCATCCGATATTGAAGATTTCTTGGATCTTTCCTTGCTATCAGACTTGGATTCATTCAACTGAAGAAAAAATAAAATAAAACAAAAACCCAACAACAACAATGGCAAAATGATTAACACCTCCATAAGACAAATGCTATCTCATTTTATTCTATAATTGTTTATTCACATTTAATATTCTTATCTATTTTATCTTTCTCCCAATTTTATTGGGGGAAACCAAAAATAAAGCTACTCTATAATGTTACTCTCTAGGTAAGGAATTTAAAAAAGCATTCAAATCTGTTTTTCTCCTCTATTGGATACCCACGTGTATTTTTAAAGAACTCACTTATTGAGACTAATTTGGGCTGATAGGCAATTTATTCTCCTAAAATGTAAATATACTGATCGTGTCACTTTCTAAATTTTACATTACAATTTGCATACCTTTTCTTCCTTTATGTCTTTTTCTTTCTGCATAGCTTCTTTTACTTTGTTTTCTCTTTTTTCTTTAAAATCTTTTTCCTTTATATCTTTCTTATCCTCTTTTTCTTTTATCTCCCTTTTAAGTTCTCTTTTATTCTCCTTTTCTTTTGCTTCCCTCTTTTCTTCTGGTTCCTTCTTTATACAAACATCTGGCTCAGGTTTTTCTTCACTGTCTCTTTCTGTTTTAATTTTTTTATTTGGATGTTTCACAGAAGTGATCTCATCCTGGAAAGTGCAAGTATGGCCAATGTATTACTAACCAAATCTTGACAAAGACTAACTTCTTTTCTTGGCATGACTATGGATTGCATGTATGTGGATTCTGAAAGAAATAACCCAGAATCCCACTATTAATGATACATGCAACGTTTATCTTCCTATAAAAACTAAGGTAAGCCAGTCCCATTCAAAATTCATAATAAAATTAAAGGAGACAACCTCATGTGAATGGCAAATGTTTGAAAAGGAAGGACCTTTGCTCTCTCTCTCTAGTGATATATAATATTCTATTGGATGAGTAGAACTCTGCTCTGTAAATGAGGCTACGTAATGAACTATAGAAAAGAACTTCAGTTATCTAAAAGTAAAATTTCAAGCCTTAGTTCAAATTTCAAATGTAAAGTATACTAAAACATGCCATGTCCCTTTCTATGTAACAGGCTGCTTTTCTAAAACACATTCTTACCTTATCGTCATCATCATCAGACTTTTCTGAGGGCAAAGGAGAAGAATCACTCTTTACTTCATCCTTCACTTTTATAGACTTCATTGCTTTATTCTTCTTAGCTCTTGCTTTTCTTCTCTTTGAACCTCCCTAAAAATAATTATTTTTATTCTAACCAACTCCACAGATTCCTTAAAAAAAAAAAAACTTGTTTTTTTTCAGGCTAAGATTCACCCTGAGCTGACAACCGCTGCCACTCTTCCTCTTTTTGCACGTGAGCCGCCACCACAGCATGGCCACTGACAGATGAATGGTGTAGGTCTGCACCCAGGAACCAAACCAGGGCCGCTGAAGCGAAGCGCATTGAACTTAACCACTAGGCCACTGAGGCTGGCCAAGCCCCCCAAAAAACTTCTTAAATATTAAATCTAAAAAGCTAAAAGAACACACATTCCCACCCAATCCTTAGTCTGTTGGTAATAAGCTACACCAGTCTTAAGTCAACAAAAGCAATATAAGTTAATGAATCCAATACATATTAATGTGAATAATAAATACTAACCCAACTATAATTAATTATTCCTTTAAAAAATGATTAGAAAGAAGTAGAAGTAGAGAGAAACAGAAGGAGGGTTTTTCACCTTCCTAAATTATTATCTTTAACTAAATTTGATGCTACCAGAGATAGCATTAGAAATTATTTTTAATGCTACACAGGCAGTTACTGACATTGTGGTCATGGGTAAACTTTTACAGGCTGCTTTAGTTTCCAAACACCTCTCTTTTAGTGTCTTTTTCCTACTTTTTTGGAGCCCCCTCCTAAATAAGCTCAGTGATCTTTAATGCTGTCCCTTAAGCTCTCCAATATCTCCAAATAAAACAGTAATGGAAGCACGACGTCTCAAAAAGCACTCCACTCTAAACAAGTTGCCCCCACTCCCTCTCAAAATACTAGAAAAAAACAGGATCCCACTTCTGAAAAATGTGGCTCACCAGTTTTAACATGAATGCTAAGATAATCTGAGGCAAAATATGACCATATTCAATTAAAGCAACCAAATTACAGAAAAATACACTTATGAGGTCACATTAATCACAGATGTCTAGGGTGATTAGTAAACTACATTTATCTTACTGAAAAGTAAACTGCTCTTAAGCATCCAAATTTTAACTTACTGCGCCAGAAAGTCTCTGAGCTTCTTTTCTTGCAAGATCTTTACTAAGTAATTTGATGAGGTAGTCTGCACGTGTCTGCAACTGTTTTGCTTGTGGTTTTTTATCAGGATCATCTGGAAGAATCTGAAAAGCAATTAATTTTTCAGGCTGTCTTTAATAAATAACATGAGAAATTTATTGGCTGAAAAACGCTTACCCATTTTAAAAAATATATATAATTCACTAACAAGTTATAATTCTTAAAATTTGTAAGAATAAACAACTTAAAATGTAAAATACATTTTTTATACCTATGGCACAGCCAAAGACTTAATTTCCCTAGGAGTGAATTCTAAATAAATACACAAGAAATGAAAATTCAAAGTGTGAGGCTAGAAATTTCTTTTAAATATATAATAGTGTATTTAGCATCCAGTGTTATTAAACATTACAGTATTCTTAGATTTCCCTCCTCTCTCAATAACAGTATATTAACTATTAAGTATACAAAAATTCCTAGAATACAAAGTATCATCTAGAAGATGACCCACAGCATGCACTATGAGGAAACTTTTACAGTGGGAATCTAAACTATTTAAGTTTTGCTTCATAGTAGCAAATGACAAAGCACCAATATCTGAAGCTTCCCAATTGTTTGTGAAGAAGTAAAATATAAAACGATAACTTTTAAATGATAAGCATCAGGCAATGCTTTCGGTGTTTTCCATTTCAGGCAAAGAAATGATTTTAGCTAGTGTGCTAGCATCAAATCACTAAAAATCCGAAACACTGTTTGATATTTAAAAAAAAAATTATAAAAGATTTCAGAATCCTTTTTTTGCCCTTCAATAATATAGTTAATGATGGAATAAGAGACTTACTTTTAACCTAGTAATGTGAAGAAAAATACACATTGTTGTCTTAAAAACAAAAATATAATTTCAGAAGTAAAGCAAATCTCAGACATCATTTACATTCAATCCCTTCATAAAAACCAGATTCTAAAGAAGCCAAGGACACACAGCTAGGTAGAGCCTTGGTTTCCTGACTCCCACTTGAGTTTATTTCTAACATAATTTAAAAGTAAATTAAATTCAACACAAATGGTCAACAGAATCAAGAAATATATACATACCTTGTGTGTTAGACTGAGGTCAGGATCCATTTTAATCATTTCCCAGCTTCCATATCCATATTCATAGATACCAATTAACAAATTGGAATCATCTTCTTTGCCCCAGTCTATATCAAAATGAGCTGCCTTTGTGTGGCATGGGATAGTATACCTAGCATTACAGTTAATAATCACTGTCAAGTTTATAATATCGCCTTATTAAAAATTAATTTTGAAAAACACATTTGAGTTGTTAGAATTTCAAAATACTATGCTTTATTTTATTTTTAAAAACATTTGATTCAAACTAGCCAGTAACATAAAAAACATTTTTAACATACATTCATATTCAAATTATTGAATAACAACAAATATTTTACAATGGAAAAAGTACACAACTCACTGCTTTCTTTCTTCTGGATCTGAAGGAATGGATCTGTGCAATGGTATTAACTCTTCTTCATGGGAGATGACTAGTTTGGCATTCACCTGGACTCCTGATATTCGGAATGTTGGGCCCTTCACTTTTCCAAGTCTACCACCTTAGTTTTTTTTAAAAGGGCATAAAAAAGTATAAAATATATAATTCTACAAAATACAAAATAACATAGGCTGCTATTTATATTAATAAATATTACTTATTTATCTACACTAATAAGTATTACTTCTTCATATTATTAAGGGGAGGCTTGCTGGCAACCTTAAATTTTACAAGTATTTCAGTACCCACTAGTGATTATAATATAGCAGATGCGGAGTCCCAGAAGGCATTTCATGTGATTAAGTGTTTTATCAATTATACAAGATACATCAATCTTATTAGTACTGTCAGCCTCTAAATAAGAGTTCTAATATAATTTTTTTTCAGTACATCTGATTACTAAATCTTATCTAAATATTTTTATTTAGGTAGATGAACTGTCAAGTAACCATAATGAAGTAACTATGCCCAAAACCAACATCACACGTGTACACTTACAATATCTTTTCCCAGTCATCTATACTAAAAATAAAGTCTAACTAACCATAATTCCTGATATTACCTCCCAGCCAGAATATACGAGGCAGATAGATTCTACTGCCTTCAATAATACAATTCTGTTTCCCATTTCCTATTACCCAGGAATGGCCTTGCTTTGTTTTGTAAAGCATCTTTTAAGAATGATGAATAGGTAACTTAAGAAACAATACCTACCTAACTCAAGAAAAGCATATTTTGAAACTTCCATTTACCTCTCTTAAAATCACTCTCATTTTAATATTACCTGTTCGTTCTGTTCCTGAAGAATTATCCTTTAAAGCTTTAATGCAACCATTATGTACCAATTCTCCTAGTCGTCTGAGGTCTGTCTCTGACTTATCAACTAATTCAGCATCTCGAGCAATTGCGTCTAATCTGTAATAAAATAATACAATTTTCAGGTAAATGTACAGAATAAAGTAGTGCTATTTTACTTTATTCAAGAAACACAGGGCCGGCCCTGTGGCTTGGTGGTTAAGTGCGCGCGCTGCGATGCTGGTGGCCCGGGTTCGGATCCCGGGTGCGCATCGAGGCACCACTTCTCCGTTCATCCTGAGGCCGAGTCCCACATACAACAACTAGAAGGATGTGCAGCTACGACACACAACTATCCACTGGGGCTTTGGGAAAAATAAAATAAATAAAATCTTTAAAAAAAAAAAAAGAAACACAAAGTTTCACTCTATCTCAAGCTCTACAAGTCACTATTGCATGACCTCAAATTCTAGTTCAGATAACTGGCACAAGATACCTAAAAACTGAGATGATAAGGTGAGCAAAAAAATTCATTTATACATTCAAAGATAATAATTAAGTTAACCAATTCATTACCGAGAAATGGTGTGGTCCAAATTTGAAGATTACATAATAATTCTTTAAAAGTTTTTCATACCTGATCAAATATTAAGTTCAAAAGGAAGTGGCTAAGTGTTATAATAACTATAAATGAAAAGATATTAAGATTGAAGTTATATAATTTTTTATTACTATGTACTGAGTAGATAACATGAATAACGATTAATGTTCAAAACACTTTTTTCATCATCTAAAGTAATTAGGCAAGTATTTCAGTGTATTTCATGCAAGTCATCTCAAAGTAAAACAGAAAATACCTCTATTTTAAGAGAAGTTTTTGGGAAAAAAAAACAGAATTAAACCAATTTGAGTCTTTGACACTCTATATTCAGTGGGTTTGCCACAACAAAGGACAAAGAATGTTCAAATCACCAACAATTATGGATATTAATAACTTCAAAAAAACTGTCTTGATAATTTGAATTTTAATACAGTTTGTATAAAAAAAGCTATAATTAGGGAAATTTAACAAAATTTCCCTAGAAAGGGAAAATAGAACGGGTCTTTAAATCAGAAGGCTAGATTAGCTACTCCTCTAAGGATAAATCTTTTATAAGTTTGCGATGAAAAAAATGAGACAGCATTTGAAAAGTACCTTACAATCACAAAAACGCGAAGTATTTTATAGACATATGCATTTTACAGAAAACTTCATTTGTAGAAAAAATTTTAGAGACTAGAAAAAATTAAGGACAGCACAAAAACACTTTAGAAAAGTCTATGTGAAATTTGCTTTTTACAGATTAACTTTGTAAATGCCTGTTAAGCAAATTTAACAAAGTAGCTAAACTGAATATTAGTATAAACAAATAAACCTGACAGCATGTAACACATTCTATAATTCTTTGAGAAAAACAAATGTATTTACCTTTCCAGAGGGCCACCAAATTTCTTGTAACTCTTGATAAACCTAACAGAAAATAATTGGTTTAAATGTGGGCTTAATTATCCGCTAAAAAATAGATATATTTATAAATACATAAAAATAAGAAAATACTTGTTAGTGCAAAAATTAAAGGCACTGTTACTAACAAAAATGAATAAACTATGCTAGAAACAAAAATGTTAAAACATTAAGATATACCAAGACACATTTTAACACTCAAGATGATATTTAGAAACCAATATAAATAAAACAAAAGAAGCTAAATTTTATTTTAGAAATTACTTTATTGTTTTCACAAGACAAAAAAGGTTCAAGGCTACCACAGGAAGTGTCTCCAGAATTATCAATCATCTTACACCTCCTCAAATTCCAAGTATTGATAAAAGTTTACTGAATATAGCTTTAATTCAGATGTATGATATTATACCAACAATGGAAAATAAAAATTTTACTTAAAAACAAAGCTACTCAAGTGGTTGATGGATGAGGAAAAATATCCAGGAAAAGTATTAGTTGAAATGCCTCTTCAACTAAAGACAGAAAGTCCAGCAAATCAAGTGGTCATAAAAGTACCCTTAATTAAATCTAACAGTATATTTAGTTTTCTGGTAGAAAGAATGAGGAAGAACTTTATCAGTCAGGTCTATGATTTAAAAGAAAAGAGTTATAATGGCTAGAAAGAAACAACAAACTCTCAAAATATAACAATGAACAAGCTTTTTACAAATTTCATAAGCAAAAATATTACACGAACAAAAATAAGCTGTTATCCCGTTCCCCTTAAGTAAATCTGACTATATAAACAAACATATTTTGAAAGAAAACGACAATTCTCCTGCATGGCCAATCTTACCTCAATTCCTACTTGGACACAGAAATGCTTTTAACGTGGTTAATTTCAAAGAGCAAATCATCTCAGTATAAAAAAACTAGAAAAATATGAAACTATTCTCACATAAAAATAGTAATGTTGGGAGTCATAAATATAGTGAGAATTTTTAATAATTAAATTTAACGTATTGAAATAAATATTCATTATTCAAAAAGGCCACTACTCTGAACCACATTAATAAAACCAAAAAAATTTACCTGTCTAAATAGGTTAATAATAAATAAATAATGTGCAAAGATTAGACGCCAAGCTTGTTTTTCTCACAGTTATAATGAACACCCAAAAGGAGAACCACCCAATCCCTATAAAATTATCATATATTTGCCTCCTCTAAAACTTTCATCTTAATCTTAGAAAATTATTGGATTTCTACATTTTAGTTCCAACCTCTTATTAAAAAATAAGTTGAAGTAAAGTGGTCTTAAATCATCTTACCGCCGAATTTCTGCATCACTAAATCCTTTAATATTCTCTCGAGGGATAGTCCGTGGTCTTCCACGTTTCTTTGGCCTTTTTCTTTCTGACATTGAATCACTATCAGATCCAGAGTATCTCCTACTTCTACTGCGCCTCCCTTCACTTCCATTGAAACTAATCTGGAATTTGAAAACAAAACATTTAGCTTAAAGAGGCTTCTATTGTAACAGCAAAAAAAACACTATAAAAAAAAAGATTGACAGAATAGAAACTCAAATGTTCTTCTATATATCAAAAATAATCTATAAACAAAATTATGAAGCAAAGTAAAAAAAGAAAAATATAGCACGTTAATGTCAGAGTCATTAATAGCCTTAATACTTAAAGTATTATTATAAAACAGCAGGAAAATACCCATTGTTCTTTTGTAAAAATATGAGAAAGGTTATTAACAAGCAATTAATCAAATAACATAAACAGAGAATTGTGCAACCTCACTGACAAATTTTTTAAAATGTGAAGTAACAATGAAATACAATTCTTTTTGTAATCCATCAACTTTACCAGTACTAACTAAGCAGTAACAGCCAACATTGATGATGGCACAGAAAATGGATAACCATACACCTCTGCTGGGTATTTAAACTGGGACAAAAGGCAATTCGGCAATATCATATCAAATGCTTTAAAAATTACCATTCTGCTGACCTAGCAACATCACTCCTAGGTATTTTTCCTGTGATCAGAAATGTGAAGAAACAGTGGCCAAAAGTGATTTATATCATAAAAGTAAAAAAAAAAAAAATTGCAAACAACCTAAATGTTCATCAAAAAAGAGAATGGACAAATAATCTATACAGTGGAAAGTTGAGAAGCCATTAAAAAGCGTGGTACAGAATAATTAACAGTCATTATATACTGTCAAAGGGAAGAAAGTAAGTTCCAAATATGACTCCATTAAATCTGGCAAATGATATATATTTAAAAAAATTGGAATTATGTGTACCATAAAAATATTATTACTAGTGATACCTCTGGGTGGACAGATTGATTATGTGTCATTTTTTTCTGTTCTAAATATCCACTTAATGGTACTCTAATTAGGCTGACAGATATTTAAAAGAAAAAAATGCCAGTTGAACCCACATAAAGGCCTATTTATAACATCCATTAGAGTTCTTTAACAGATACATCACAACATATTCTCTGTAAGTCTTGGGAGTTTTTCCAAAGTCTCAGTACATATTCTGAACTCCTAATATGCTGAAAACTAATTGAAAGTCAAGGATGGTATTCAGTCCTTCCTCGTTCTAACCTCCTCTCATCCTTGCACAAGATCTAATATAATGCTGTGCTTCCCGTGCACTATACAAGGAAACTATTATGGGGTTTAAAGAAATAAACACCAACAAGAAACTACATACATGGTCACTTTCAGGCCAAACACACATTATTTGGCTCCATTTCTGCTGGGATGTAGAAAGTGGGTAGATTGCTCCCACCCTGATAACAGATCTAATTTGTAATATCATAACTTTTCTTAAACACATCAAAATCACAAAGCAATCCAGCAGTCTAAAATATAAGGAAACATAGCAACTTGTAAGGAGATGGGACTTGAATGCTGGCTCACCTGTGAACAGTACGAATGGTAGACATTAAGTACCATATGAGCAGGTAAGAGGAAGCTAGCTACAATTTTCTAAAGGCTGAGTGTGAGCTACCAGGAGAGCATAGGATCCCTGGGAACCAAAGACACAGGGAGAACCTGCACCCGCTCTCAGGAACTCTCCACAAACCTCCACCAGGTGTTCATGAGAAAGACTGGAAGCAGGGTGGGAGATGAGAGAAAACTTTCCTTGGGGGACAGGCTTGGAGAATGGGAGCAGTCACCTTTGAGGAGACAGGCAGGAAGCCTTGCCAGACTCTTCTCACCTACTGAACTGAGGGCACAGGGGAAGACTTAACATGGTTGTAGAAAAAGAAAACAAAAAACTCTACCCTTGCAGGAAGGGTAGCAGGATAAGGACTAGGGTGAGGCAAGTCTCACATTTGCCTCAGACTCAAAATTTAAGGAGGCACCAAAAAACTCAGTAATCAAGACAAATAATTCTGTAATGCAACATTCTAAAAACAAAAGTTAATGCAAAAAAATCTAGTATTAAGATTTTTTCCTTTTGCTGCAGGATCCAATACAGTTTGGCATGGCACTGTTACCATTATTTAAAAGTCTGATATTTTGTTCATTTGGGCCATAAGACAAACATCAACAAATATTTAAAAATTTAAATCACATAAGGTATGCTTCTCTGACCATGACAGAATTAAACTAGAAATATTTGGAAATTAAACAACACACTTTCAAAAAAAAACCCTATAGGTCAAAGAGGAAGTCACAAGGGAAATTAGAAAATATCTGGAAATGAATGAAAATGAAACCACAACAGATACCAAAATTTAGGAGATTCAGAAAAGGCAGTGCTTATTAGAAGGAAACTTATAGCATTAAATGCTAATATTAGAAAAGGAAGGTCTTGATTCACTGGCCTAACCTTACACCTTAAGACACTAAAAAAAGAGCAAATCAAAGCAAAAGTGAGAACGAAGAAATTCTAAAAAGAGCAGAAATCAATGAAATTTAAAACAAAAAAATCAATGCAAACAAAAGGTGGTTCTCTGAAAAGAAGAGTAAAATTAACCTCTAGCTAGGATGATCAAGAAAAATATTACCAATATTAGGAATGAAAAGAGGGGAATCACTAAATATTCAATAGACACTAAAAGGATAAGGGTATATTATGAAAAACTTTATGCCCATAAATTCAACAATGTAGATAAAATGGACAAATTCCTTAAAAGAAACAAACTATCAAACTCACTCAAGAAATAGATATTCTGAATAGTTCTATATTTACAAAAGAAACTGAAGTTGTAGTTAAAAAATCTTCTAAAGAAAACTCCAGGCCTAGATGGTTTCCCTGACAAATACTGCCAAACATTTAATGAAGAAATAATACCAATTCTACACAATCTCTTCCCAAAAACAGAAGAGGAAGGAATACTTTCCAACTCATTTTATGAGGCAAGCATTATCAAATCAGATGAAGACATTACAAGAAAAGAAAACAATGGACCAATAGCTCTCATAAACAAAAAAAGACCAGCACAGGTGTGAATACTCTTACATTACAGAAATATCTTTTAAATAAAAAGTCACCTGTTTTGCACAGTTTCTCATTCTTGGGAGCATATAAATTTCTTCAAGTTCCTTTTGTCTTTCTTCCTCTTCTAATCGTCTTCTTTGATCTTCTGGAATGATTTCTTCCCAATTCTTTGAATTTCTTTCGGGTTCCAACTCAATGTCATCTTCATCCATATTTGAAAAGTTGGCAACCTGATAAATTCCAGAATTTTAACAGAATAAGTATTGAAGAACTCATCCTTTAATTATATTTTTCTTTTTTAGGGGACGGAAGTGGCATACTAGAATAAGACAATAAAACTTAAATATCCTCAGGATAATGAATATGACTATGGATTACACCAAATATGACTGCTAAACTATCTGAGTTCATTTCTTCATTAGGTCAACGTAGATCAAATCAAATAACTTCCCTTCCGCAGCAATTATCACACCATTAACTACCAAGTGCTGTAGAACAATCCAATATTCTTATTTTTACAATTATAAAAATAGTACCTAAACAGCTACTGACAAAACATAGGAGCTCTGAGACCACAGATAAATTTATTTACGTTCCCTAAGCCCTAGTTGCTTTATCTCTAAAAAAAGAGGATAGTAACAGCACACTAACTTCTGTGAAGATTAAATAAGATAATACATTCAAGGAACTGTGCAGAACTGTGCAAGTATGGTATAAAGAAAACATTCATTAAAGCTAACTGCCAATACTAGCACATTAAAACTTATAGTTAACTGGATGAAGACAAGGAAACTAGGCTTACCCTACGTAAGGAACGGGGCTGAAAATGCAGTGTTTATTCTCTGATGTCTGTTATTTAAATGTGATAATAGCCTTAAAGGCAGCTATGTATGAGTATCAACTCACTGGTATAAAAATAATCTACATTTACTCTAGTTAACTTTTCAGTGACTTTTTTCAAATTGCCAGTTAGTCCAATTAAAAGCAAGTAGTATAACTTGATGAAAAGAAAAAGAGTTAAGTAAATCACACTCAGGATAAGTGCCAGTTCTAGAAACCTTCACCTCTCACCAGGATTACTAAAATAGTCTTCTAATTTATCTCTCTGCTTCAATTCTTGCCCCTCTACAATATATGCCCCCCTGCAGCCAGAGTGATCCATTTAAATTATAAAAGTTTTTTTACTCACTGCTGTATCCCTGTGCATGGCACGACAGAGGTGCTCAACAAAAATTTGTTCAATGAACAAATGACATAAATTGAATTGATCCTTAAAAACCTCAGTTAGTAGAAAATGGCTAGGATATAGAGGCAACTTGCTTCTTTATACTAAACAATTGGCACACAACTTACTCTACGTGGTCGGCTGACTTGTGTTGCTTCACGACTCCTTGCAACCTTTTAACCCTCACCAATCCAGGGGTGTTTATTAGTATTAATAGGACCTTATTGCTTAATTTGACTGATTTACTTGAGTTTTCTTAGTCGTGATAATGTTTCAATTAATTTAAAGTCAAAAACTGCTCCAATAAAAATCAGCTAAAAGCCTTGAGTTGCGGAAATCTAAGTAAGAGATCATATTCAATCTTTACTCAAATATTTGAGGACATGCTATCTGCCAAGCACTATTCTAGGTGTTAATTAGGAAATAACGGCACTTTCCATCCCACTAAACGTAACTATTCATAAATGATTTGGTCCCTTTCAAATCAGGTTGCTACTGGTTTGTCAGAATAAGGGAGAAACATTTTTATACACCATAGCAAATTTTAAGACAAAAATGTTAAACATTTTTGTTTAAAAATTATCTTGCTGATTGCGCTTAAAGAAAGAAAAGAGTTAATAAAATACTTAATGACAAAAAAAAAATCAGTCCCTCTCAATTGACATAATTAAAAAGAAAAATTAAAAAGAAAAAGAAAATCTACCTTGAACTGGGAAAGTAATTCATCTCCTACAGTTAAAGGGCCTGGTTCATTTTCATGAGTTTCAGCCCTCTTCAAGATTTCATCTATATCCATTTCCTATAATTAGAAAGAAATCTTTATTTTAAATATACTTTAATATATTTTAAAGTCAGTATACTTTATACTTAAATATAGTTTAAATAGATGGCACATTTTGAGGCAAGTTTTTTTTTTTTTTTTTTTACCTGGGGCTCTTGTTCTTCTCCTTCAGGTTCCTTAAAAAGTTCCTCAGCACCAAACTTTAAAATGGCTGATAACTCTTCTTTATTGAAAGGAGTAGAACTAAAATCAGGAAAAACAAAAATACTTAATAATGACAGTTAAAAATTTAACATTTAACATAGCACTTTTATTAATTATTGACATAGTCACCTTTACAACCGTTATATGACATAGATAGGTGAAGTATTACTTGTATACTTATTTTAAAACTAAAGAACTTGAAGCCTAGAAGTTAAAGGGATTTCCCCTAAGATTACACGACTAGAGTGGTGAAACCAGGTACTGAACATATGCCTCTGACTAGAAATTAGTCCAGTGCTTTAAAACATTAAAAAATTACAACACTAAACATAGTAGTTCAATGATCTACTCACTGTATGTAACATTTCAGAGAAATGAGTATAGTATGATTCTAAAATGACATTTTTTTATAGTCAAGTAACTACCTTGAGGGGGCAGAACCTGTGTGTAGTACTGTCTTCCCAGTTGTGTCCATTCTTTGAATCACAAGATGATCTAAAACCATCTTCTTTTTGGCCCTTTCAAGAATATCCTCTTCAACTGATCCCTTCGTAACTAGACGATAAATATTCACCTGTAAAGATACATGTGATGAAACATACAATGCAGTAAAAATGATTTGTTTTGCTAATCTGAAGTGTCCAAATATTGGTACATAGACTGAAGCTTATCTTACATGAAGTTTTCACTAGTCAAAAGCAAAATGAAAATAAAAAAACATATAGCAATGTTTAAAGCTAAGTTTCTTCAATTTAAAGATTATTTTGAGGGTATGTTCCTCCTTCTTACGTTTTGGTTAGAAGACTTTACTTGCTTCTTTTCCTTTTTTTAAAGGAAATGACAATAATATTTAAATTATCTTTTTAGCTGAGAAAAAAGGGAAAAAATGGTAAACTTAAAACAACCTTATACCAGTTGCCTCAATTCTGATTAATGTTTCATCATTCCACATAATCCAAAATTCTATGAACCACTCCCTAAGTTAACGACAATGCCCTTCATTAAAACAAAGCTTTCCAAAATAGACAAAAATTGATGTGTAGTATTTCTGCCCTATTTCTCAAGGTCAGTCTAGGTTCTGTATCAAACAGCACCATCATACAGGGTTATTTTGAAAATTTATGGGAACATTTCCAGTTGTCACAACAATTAGGTGGGCTTACCAACATTTAGAGTGCAGGGACCTCCAATACTAGACATTTTACATTAAACTGGACATTCTGTCACAATGAAAAATTATTCTCTATCTTTCCAGTCTTTCAAATGATTTTTAAAAACCTTTTTTAAATTATCTTGAGTCTAAATTATAACTCCATTTTAATATAAACACAAAGCATTTTTACAAAGTTACAATATATACTAATTTTTTTCAGGATTCCAACTGTGGTATGGTGTACTATGTACCTACTTACAACTATGGTGTAAATGAGTAGATAATTGGATATTGCTTTATTTGGATCTCTATCAAAAGTTATTTCCAAATGCTTATAGTTATTAGTGTCACCAATAAAACTCATTTGTATTAATCATTTACAACTAATCATTTTGCAGTTGCAGCAAATATTTAATATGAGATCTGAGACTCCTTTTGTCAGATTTAGAACCAAATACTACTAAAACAGCAGGTACACGAAGCATAGGAATCTTACTATATTTCATCAATAATGAAATAATAAGGAATGTATCAACAACCATTAATAATAAAAAACCCGTTTCATATTTATACCATGCCTATCTTTAAAAAAAAATTTTGTTTAACATAACAGTAAAAAACCTGTATTGCCATTATTTTCTGATTTTTTTCAGATACTCTTCCCAGGTGTACCACACAATCTTCTCTAGTGTCTCGTCTTGCCGGTTCTTTTCCTAATGTATCCTCTATTTTCTACCACTTACTAGAAAATGTGGTGGCTGAGGTCTTTAAATAGTATAAATGAAATATAAGTCTAGCCATGTGTTGAAAATTTCAATATAGGATGTATCCGTTCAGTGCAGTTAATCACTATTCCCAATCTCATGCATAATACAGGGATATTTTAACTCTTCACATATACATTAGGCCCAGCTCACCTGTGAGAATATCATATTTCCTCACTTTCTCCTCTTTGATAGACTATAATTTACCTTGGCATGTTGTTATCCCTACTTCAAGTTTCCCTCTCTTTATAATGTATAAGTCTCCTATTATCTAACCTAATTTTTATTCTCTTAAGCACCAATACACCTCTGGCTCTTTCCTTCCTTTGTACTTCTTATAGAGAATGAGTTCTGCTCTTATTCTCTCAACTCTAAACTTATTCTTTGTGTGTGTGTGTGTGTGTGTGTGTGTGAGAAAGAGAAAGATTAGCCCTGAGGCAAACATCCGATGCCAATCCTCCTCTTTTTGCTGAGGAAGATTAGCCCTGAGCTAACATCCAAGCCCAATCCTCCTCTTTTTGCTGAGGAAGGTTGGCCCTGAGCTAACATCTGTGCCCATCTCCCTCTACTTTATATGGGACGTAGCCACAGGATGGCTTGACAAGCAGTGCGTCAGTCTGTGCCCGGGATCTGAACCTGCGAGCCCTGGGCCGCCAAAGTGGGGCACGCGAACTTAACTGCTACCCCACCGGGCCAGCCCCTAAACTTATTCTTTATATCCCCGTATAGTCATATATATTGAAATATATATTATATGAAAAGAACTCTTTTTTTTTTAACCTAAATTAGGGCATTAGACTGACTTTTCAAATTACTTGCATTCATTTCAAGATAGAAAAGAGGGTTCTAAAAACAGCTGTCATAAAAAGGGGTTCTGGGTCTGATGAAGTTAAGAACCACTACTCTAAATATAAGCTTTCACTTAGGAGTATGCAGTGTTGTTCCAGAATAGAAAAAAATTATAGGAAGAAGTAAGATACATTCCTGATGAGACACAGTTTTATGAGAATTATTTGGGTAAAACATTTCTTTAGCTTTAAATTATGGATATATTTTTCAGTAGAAAATATGAAGGTTTAAAAAGGTAATACAGGGGCCGTCCCAGTGGCGCAAGCAGTTAAGTGCGCACGCTCCACCGCGGCAGCCTGGGGTTCGCCGGTTCGGATCCCGGGCGCACACCCGACGCACCGCTTGGCAAGCCATGCTATGGCGGCATCCCACATAAAGTGGAGGAAGATGGGCACAGATGTTAGCCCAGGGTCAGTCTTCCTCAGCAAAAAGAGAGGAGGATTGGCAGATGTTAACATAGGGCTGATCTCCTCACAAAAAATAAAAAGTAAAAAAAATAAAAAGGTAATATAAATGTGCTCAAGCCTTTTTGTGCTACTTGTTCATATCTCCTGCTTTGGAGAAGTTTGAGCAGCACTACTTTAAACGGAGGTAAATGAATTAAAATACAAGGACCAAGGCATTAAAACGATGACAGATGGGGGCGAGCCCGGTGGCGCAGCAGTTAAGTGTGCACGCTCCACTTCGGCGGCCCAGGGGTCGCAGGTTCAGATCCCAGGTGTGCACCAATGCACAGCTTGTCAAGCCATGGTGTGGTGGTGTCCCATATAAAATAGAGGAAGATGGGCATGTTAGCCCAGGGTCAATCTTCCTCAGCAAAAAAAAGGAGGATTGGCATCAGATGTTAGCTCAGGGCTAATCTTTCTCACAAAAAATAGAAAAAAAAAAAAGATGACAGATGGTTTTTCTCAAGGCCTATTCGAGAGAGCTGTACCAAAACTACAAAATGAGAATGGTTTTTTTGCATGGAGAATCTTGTGGACACATGGATAAGAAAACAGGCTAACAAAACGGTAGCAACGCACTAAGTAAAATCTCTTTAATGAAGACATTTTAAAGTTCATACAGTAAATGAAAAACATTGTACTCTACAGTTGTAAACAGAAAGTAGAATCAAAAGAGAGTGCATGATCCCATTTAAGCATAGTTATTTCAGTTCTGTCACTTTCCAAATGATTCTAGTAAATTTGAGCTCCTCAGTATCCTATCTGTTAAATAGCGATGCGACTATGTTCCAACGATCTTACCAGGAGGATAAACCAAATCACTTTCTGATCAGAAAAAGGATTCTAAAAGAATAAAATAAGGGGAATAAAAAATACCTGTTTCTTTTGCCCGATTCGATGAGCTCTAGCCTGTGCCTGGAGATCATTTTGTGGATTCCAATCAGAATCAAATATAACAACAGTGTCAGCAGAGGCTAAATTAATTCCTAGACCTCCAGCTCTTGTGGAAAGCAAAAAGCAGAAATCCTGTAAGGAATTATAAAGAGGCATGCTTTTAAATTCTTCTAAACTGTGACTATGGATGATCAATATGAGAATTTCACAATTGATTTTTTGAATTTAAAAAGTATTTTATCAACAAAACTGAAAGGTACTTTTTAAAAATACTAATAAAATATATAAACCTCTAGTAAAACCGATCAACAAGACTCCAAAATACAAATATATATGGAAATAATAACCCCCAAATTCAAAAATAATTCTAAATGAAAGTGGGCTAATTTAGTTTGAAGCAAATTAACTGTCCTATGCTGAAAAAGTATTCATAAGAAAGGGTAAAATTCTTCAGAATTAACATAGAATACTGATTTAAAAACCTCACTTGCAAATCAAAACTGGCTAGCACCAATAAGACTTTTTTTTTTTAACAAACTACAAGTACGACTAAAATGACTAAAACAATTTATTTACAATTTTAAAAGCATTCATACCTCTGATCCGTCAGCATTAAAATGATCTAGAGCTTGTTTCCTCAGCTCCCCTTTTATTGATCCATCTAATCTCTAGAATAAAACACATTCAATTAATGTATATTACAGAATCAAAAATTTAAAAAGGAAGTAAAATCAATTACAAAATTAAGTAAATATGAAACCGGAGCACTGCTTTGGCTAAGACTGTTGAGAATAGAAGGTAGGCAGAAAAACAATGCTCAGGCATTCTATCTCCAGAGCCTGTGCTCTTAACCACCAGCACTGCTTTCCCTAATAGTAAATAACGGTACCATTGTCATTCTGTCTGAGAATCAGGGTGAGAAATACATTTTACATGTGAATGAGTACACAGCTATACACCCAAAGCAAGTTTCATGATGCAATGTACTGAGATACACCCTCAATATTTTACAATCTATTTCATTTTTTTAAAATATTGGTACAACCCATTAAACTGATTCCCAGATCCATTAATAGGTTACAGCCCACAGTTTAAAAAACACTGATCAAGTCCAGTGTGGTTACTGGACCAACAGCATAGGTGTTACCTGAGAACTTAAAAATGCAAAATTATTGAGCCCCATCCCAGACCTACTGAATCAAACTCTGAGGGAGGGGTCCAGCAAAAGACCTCTGGTTAACCAGTGAAAATCACTGATTTGGGGCACCATGGGCTCTAATCAAATAGCCCACATCTGCGTGTCTTGAGTATTCATGGATGCCTTGGGCAAGTGATTTGACTTTTCTTCTTGTCAGTTTCCTCCTCAGTAAATGGGCTAATAGTAGTACTTCCTTCATAGAATACAGAGGATGCAGTGAGAGAACAGAGTAAAACACAGCACAGTGCCTGACATATATCAAGTGCTTACTAAACATTAGCTAAAACAAATGTCCAATATCAAAAAAAATTTTAAATAGTGCTGTTCCTTTTTCACTAAAAATTGCAATTAGTAAAAATTTTTAAACAATACTGACATATCAATTATTGAGGCATGATCTAAACAAAAAGAACGTTAAAAATGATTCTCTCTGGGGAGTGAGAGGGGATTAGGGGCAGAGAACTGTTGCTTATCTAAAAACAAACCAACATATGGCTGGGGTGAAGACGGGAGGACAAAGGGTGATAATTAAAGGGTACTGTTTCTTTTTGAGGTAATGAAGACATTCTAAAATTGACTGTAGTGATGGTGGCACATATCTATGAATATATTAAAAACCACGGAATTGTACACTTTAAATGGATGAACCGCATAGAATGGAAATTACATCTCAATAAAGCTGTTTAAAAAAAAAATCAAACAGTGGTACTCTTTCTACTTTTTCCTCTAGATGACTACATATTTCTCAATCATGTTGATATCACCAAATACCTGTCCTTCACAGCACTTACCAGAGTTGTAATGTTACATTTATTTGTAATTACTTGCTTAATATCTATATCCCACACCAGGTTATAAGCTCTAACAGAGCAGGGATTATGTGTGCTGAGGTTCATCATTATAATTCTACCTCTATTTCACTGCCTGCACTAAATATACATCACTTACTAGCTGTATATACTATGTTCACTATGTTCCAGGCACTGTTCATAACACTGCTGTAAGGATTAAATAAATTATTAGATGTAAAGTACTGAAACTAGCACTTGACTTTAACATTAAAAACTCATCCATAGGAACTTTATATTGAATGAATTTCAAAATGAATACTGAATAGATGAAATATAAGCCCATTTTGGTCTGTAGTATCTGCCCTAAAGTCATCTAGTTTTATTTAGCAAACTATGCATTAGAATAATTATGAGCACATAAATCTTCAGAATCTGCAACAGGCCTGGTAACATTCACAAGCATGTGAATGTTGTTTTTTCTTCCTCAGACTAAAGCCTAATACCTAACGCTGTCCCTTTAGATTTGAGCACAGAAAAGAAATATAGAATTAAAAGAAAATCAAAACTTAAGGTCAAGAAGAAAAAAAGGGAACAATGACAAAATTTTTTTAAACAGATATATTTTCTTAAAAGAAAAGTACAGTTTATATGAAAATCTATAGTTCATTTACAAAAGAATTTCAAAAGTAATTTTGTAGAACATGCTCAGGAATTAGATGAAATTTAAATCAACAAAAAAGAAAATGAAATGCTTACTTGAAAGGGGAACTGACGATATTTCAAATACTCTGCAAGTATATCTAACATCCGCACCATTTGAGAAAAAATAAGAACTCTATTGCCTCGTTCTCTTAGGCGAATTAACAGCTTGTCAAGAAGAATCAATTTTCCGCTACTACGGATTAAGTGCTAAGGAAACAATAAATTACAACTGTTATAACATGTTAAAAGAACCAATCAAATGAAACAAATGCCTCACAACACTTCCGTTTAATTATTTTAAATTGAGATTTTAAATTTTCATGTTGGAAAACTTTATTTCACCTTACAAAATTTCCTAGGACCTTTATTGCTTTGCTTTATGACTTAAGCTAAAATTTTCCTTGCCATTTAGCGCCTATGTTTTTGTTGTATTTTTAGGAGGGAAAAAAGCACTCTTTTACTCTATTTGCTAGTTATTACACTATTTCTCCAAAAATCTCAGCTGAAAAAACAATACATTGAAAAAAGCAGCAACTAAACAATCAAAGGTTTTAAAAGAGTAAGAAAATGTCTTCTAAATTATACACATCAGTCACTGGTCCTAGCACTTCAAAGCACTAAGGTGGCTGGAGGGCAACTGTGCCTTCTTCACACTTCTCATCTGTCTTCCAGAAGTGATAGGAAGGGTAAGATCTGAGGTCAAGATGTCCTTCTTAAGACCACCATATGCCCTACCATGAATTCAGCATAATCACTATTAGTGAATTTTTTTCACAATTAAGAATACACTAAGGGATTTTTGCTGGATAAATTATGACAGCCTACGGTTAGAGAGACCCATTTTTAGAAAAATGATCAAAATAATTAAGTAGATAATTTAAAATTTTAAAGGCTTTTTTTAATAAAGACTAAAAAATAATAAACACCATTATTTAAATATACCACTAACCAAAGAGAACCCCTAACCAATATATTAAAGCACTGTGCCATTTTCAGTTATAACTGAAAATATCTAGAATTTTGCTTTACCATAAAGTAACAATATTTTAAAATCCTTACTTGTAAGGCCTCCTGTTTATTATAGAATTCATTATTATCTGGTGGTTTAATGAGGTAGCAATGGTTACAACATTTCTTTAGCTCCATCATAATGTTCAAAAAGCCTGAGGTACTGCCCTTGGAACCTTTGCTGAGGGCTTTGTAATTCCTAGTTAATATCCATCTGTTTAAAAAAAAAAAAATCATGAAAACGATGTTTAGCGGAACAACTACCAGGATGAATTCCAAAACTAATAATCAAGCACCAAAGCAAAATCACACCATTATGAAGTTCACAACAATGGACCAAACCTTGTTCACAAGACTGAGGAAAACTCAAAACTTGTTATCTGAACCATTAACTAAACACAGTAAATGTTTAATGTAACAGAGTGAGTATAGTGTATTAATGCTTTTCCCCCAAAATTTACTTTAAAACGGTCAATTGTATTATCTATCTTAACCTTCCTACAAATTTCACATTAGGCAGCTAATGCACAGATCAAAAAGAAACCTCATGAGGATACCTGGTTTAGCCACACTGCCTTCTTTAAATTACAATTACAGGATACATATGCAACGTATAAAAAAATTATCGGTGGATATTTTATTACTCTGAACTATACATAACATTGTCTTTCACCAAGATCTACTTTGTCTCTACCATCTTTTATTTTCTTCTTTTTTACAAGGTTAATCTTTGAAGTGACTTGAAACAATTATATCTCTGATTTGCCTCAAAATGACAGGGGGTGGGAGAAGCGGGGATGGCTAGAGACAAAATATAAGTTGAAAACTTAGCTAAATGATGGGATTTACTATCTTATCCTCTCTTCATATGTTTGAAATTTTCCATAATAAAAACCTAAAATTTATGCAATAAATGTATTTTTTTAAATGTATGGCACTTACAGATTTTACCACAAAATAGGTGAGAATTCAACATAACAGTGCATTTTATGCAATTAAATGTTTAAATAGATATTAATACAGATTTTTTTTGATTCTTTGAAGTGTTACTATATAGATCTGACACACATGATTTATGAATATAGCAAGGAGGTCTAGGAAAAAGCAAAGGAGCCTAGTGTTTTGTTCTAAGTTTCTTTTTCTGGTCTCTACCTCTATCAGTCAATTACATAATTATCATAATTACATAATAATGCCTTAGTATCATGGAAATCCTAACACTTAAAAGAAACCCTCTATAAGATAACAGAGTATGAAATAGAGAAAAGCAGTTAATGATATGTTTGAAGATAAATTATTTAGTCTTATGTTACCCATGATGTTGGACATGCCATTATAAATCTCTCTTGCCCCAATATGCCATGGAATAAACCTATTCTAAAATTCAAGAATTGTTACTTCGGGCCGGCCCCGTGGCTTAGCGGTTAAGTGCGCACTCCGCTGCTGGTGGCCCGGGTTCGGATCCCAGGTGCGCACCGCCACACTGCTTCTCCAGCCATGCTGAGGCCGCGTCCCACATACAGCAACTAGAAGGATGTGCAGCTATGACGTACAACTATCTACTGGGACTTTGGGGGGAAAAAATAAATAAATAAATAAAATCTAAAAAAAAAAAAAAAAATAGAATTGTTACTGCTCCAAGACCCTAATTGGGTGGGGGTGGGGGGGCTGGGGGAAGATGTCAAGGGAAACAGACCTCGATGAGACAAGGACAGAGGGGTTATTTGGAATTAAACGTTCAGAACATGTGCTCTGTTTACAGCTTACTTGTAATATTGTTTCTGTAAAGCACTCATTTCCATTCTTAAAATCTGCTCAACCTTGGCAGGAAGAGATTTTTCCACATCTTTCTTAACTCTGCGTAACAGAAACGGCTCAAGCTCCTTGTGGAGGCTTGCATAACCATATTCTCTGCCTTTGCCATGTTCTTCTTCAAAATCTTCCCAGGAAGAAAACCTTAAAAATTTAAGAAAATGAAAGAATCACTGAAAAAAGTCAAATTGCATATGAGATTTTTCAGGGTAGTCATATGTAAACACAAAATACAGATTTTTAGGGAAAAAATTAGCTAAAATTAGTCACTTCTAATAACTATCCTTCCCAAGAAATCCATTATACATTTACATAAGGTGAAATATAAGGAGTTGTTTTATAAAAATTATGATTCTCCTTGTGTTAAATAAAGATGAAGTAGTTTCAAATATGGGAGTAATTATCACTAAAATATTTCTCAAAGAATATAATTCTAAAGTTCTGAATCTACTGAAAGAGAATATGTATGTGACATTGGACAAGTTATCCTTATCTAGTCTAGTTTTCCTCATTTAGAAAATGGGATTACCAGCACCTTGTTACTGTTGTTACTACTACTGTTAAATACTAAGAATGATACTGGTCAGTTTTTCAAGCAAGGTATATTTTAAACAACGGCAAAATCAACTGTTGGAACTCATTACACATGACTCACTTGTTTACTTACAAAATTGAAAAATTAAAATACTATGTATATGAAATATTCCATCCCATTTCTTTTTTTTTTTAAGTTTTTAATAATCTGTCGTCCAATGTTTTAGGGCATTAAAACCTCTTACTGACCACATTATCTACACTAATTATTTTCCTGCTAAACTTAGCATACATAATTAACATTAAAATTGTATATCCAAATTTATCTTACTTTTCTGGCATAATGAAATGTAGCAAAGACCAAAGCTCTTTGAGGGAGTTTTGTAGAGGAGTTCCAGTGATAAGGAGACGGTGATTGGACTTGAAGTCTATTAAAGTTTTATACAGAAGAGAGTCATCATTCTTTAATCGATGTGCTTCATCTACACCTATAAATGCCCAATTCAGACCTCCAAGGAATGCCTTAAAATGAACAGAACATAGTTAATATTTTGAGAGAAAAACAGAATTCAAATTTAGCCTTCCCGTTTGACATGAATTCAAATTATTAAAATGAGGCAAATTAAAGACAAACTTTTGTCTCATTTTCAAATAAAAATTATATATTATTTCAAGATTTACTGGAATCCTCAAATCAAGTAACTCAACATGCAATATAAAATCTTTCCATTACTAACTTAGCCATTAAAAAACAAAACATAATATCAAGTGACAAGTTTTTGCCAGCTTACACAATGAAAATAAAGGAAGAGAAATAATAGTATCATTTAAAATTTTTACAAAAGATTTTTAGCTTAAGCCCAGTAGAAGTCTCTATTAATGTCAATTTGGAGAAAATATGATATAAATTTGGAACAGTGTCTCACTCCAAGAGTAGGTATAATTCACTGTATGATTTTAATGAACTGTACATCTCCAATATATAAACATGGGTCTCTGACTTAAAACAGAGACAGGCCTGATTCTGCTACTTAATAGTTGTATGACCTTAGGCAAATTCATCAACCTCTGAGACTTGATTTTTCTTTCCAACAAAGTAAAGATAGTGATACATTATAAGGCAGATGGGATTTACTTGCAGTGTTAATTATGAAGAACTAAATAAGACAGTAGCTACAAAGCACTTAGCACACAGCGCTTCACCCAGTGGTAGCTTAATCCTAAGTATCTTCTTACTCTTTAAAGACCTTACAAATCAACAGTAACTACACCAGACTAGTTTCATATAAGTCAGGAGCTGGCAAACTTTTTCTGAAAAGAGCCAGATGATAAATATTTTAGGCTTTGCAGACAAATGTGTGGTAGTCTCTGTCACCTATTCTTTGTCTTTATAACCCTTTAAAAATGTAAAAATCATTCTTAGTTCAAAAGTTATTAAAAAATAAGCCAGGGGGCCGGCCTTGTGGCTTAGCCGTTAAGTGTGCACGCTCCACCACTGGCGGCCTGGGTTCAGATGCCGGACACGCACAGACGCACCGCTTGTCGGGCAATCCTGAGGGGGCATCCCACATACAGCAACTAGCAGGATGTGCAACTATGACACACAACTGTCTACTGGGGCTTTGGGGAGAAAAGGAGTGGGGGAAAGGAGGAGGATTGGCAATAGATGTTAGCTCAAGGCCAGTCTTCCTCTGCAAAAAGAAGAGGACTGGCATGGATGTTAGCTCAGGGCTGATCCTCCTCACAAAAAAAAAAAGCCAGACTTGACCCATAGGCCGTAGTTTGCTGACCCCTGATTTAAGTTATCTTCTCATCCTATCCACAATATATGGTAAAAGAAAAACAGATATACACCAAACAGAAAAAACACAGGTAATACACACCTTATCCTTCAATAAAATTTCATAAGTTGTTAGCAGTATATTAAATTTTAACCGTTTGGTCTGGGGGTGCATCCATTCATGAGTTCTTATCTATCAAGAAATTTAAAACACAATTTTAAAACAAATATTATGAAAAGTATACTTTTACTTGAATATCTAAAATAAAACTGATTCAAAATACACGCAACCTTAGGCATATATGTTTATGTAGTAAAATTGTTTTTAATCATTCTTTATATAGTCCAACAAGCTACATTGATCTTATCATAAATAAAATATAAATACAATATATCAAAACCTTCTATAAAAAATAAAGCAGACATGTTTTTAATATACGTTTTTCACTGAAGGAAGTTCTCATTTAACAAAACGCAAGTGATTAACTCAACATTTATGGATGAAATATGTCTGAAGTTTGCTTCACAACTGGGAGGAAATTACCATGTAGAGGTACAGATGGAACACAACTGGCAATGAGTTAAAATTGTGAAGCTGGAGATGGGCACATGGAGGTTTATTAATACTCTTCTATCTGCGTTCATGTATATTTGAAACTTTCCATAAGAACGACAGGAAAAAATTTATATATAAAGTAACACAAAACCCAAAATTGGTTTTTATTACAGCCAATTAAACATATATTGAGCACTCTGTAGTAAGTTCTATGCTAAAAACTAGGACTATAAAGACAAATAAAATACTTGTCCTCAAAGATAAGTATGTCTAGGTTTCTAAATATGTGAAGAAACAACTTACCATGTTCCTGCTGTTAATGTCGCCTAAATAAACCACAGCATTCATCTGAGAAGCCCATGTCTGAATTTCCCTTTGCCAGGAAGTGAGAGTGGAGAGTGGTACGACTAATAGAAAAGGTCCATATAATTGATGCTCATGAAACAAATAGTTCAGAAATGAGATCGTCTGTATTGTTTTTCCAAGGCCCATTTCATCAGCAAGTATGCAACTATTTCCTCTACAAAGTTAAAAACAAAAAGCATGTATGCAATAAAGATTCAAATTTAAAAAGAAACGTTTTTACATAACCCATATTGAAGTTTATATGAACAGTTAAATATAAATAATCTGATAGGCATTATACACAAAATACCATTTTTATTAGCTATAAATAATAAATGTAAAGGCCTTTGTAATAGTGTTAGAGAATTGGAGGGAGTTCACCACTTTGGGCCAGAAGAAGCTTAAAAACTGACAGTATTATCTTTAATCAGTTATGCAGCCAAGAACACAATCCATCTACAAGAGGCAGAGTTCAGCTATACTAAATAAGGAAAGAGTAAGCAGAAAGAACATATAGCTATGGTCAAGTTAAAAAAAAAAATGCACCCTAGAGTCATCTATGTTGCCAAGAAATAGAGAGCAAAGGACATAGGAGAGAGGGGCAAAAAAACAGAGGCCTAAATGGATATTAGAAATAACTGAGAGGAAGAGAAATAGTCCAGGACTAGTGTAGAATAGAAATGTATACATATTCTGATTTTAAGTTCAATAAAACTTATTTAAATACTGCAACAATCAACCAAGCTAAACTCAGACTCCATTCTATTTTCTTCTTACGTAATAAATATTGTTTATATACTAGAAAATTCAAAGACCTGCATATAAATACCAAAGAGTCTTATTCTTTAAGTTGGTGGAAATCTTTTCCAAATCTTGTATTTGTAAAATTTTTACCCTCTCAATTATCAAACAGACAAATCAAAATATACTTACTTGCACCAAGAGTGAGCAAGCCAATTTAAACCATTCAGTTGATAATCTCTTAATTCTAAACCCTCATGTCCTCCAATATAGGATGGCTGCTTCTTTAGGGCTACAAATCTTGGCCTTTGTTTTAATACCTTCAGTAGAAATAAATGTTAATATGAAGAATTATTAAATATAAGAAATTATATTAAAAGATGAAAATCTCAGCTTTTATCATAAATTTTGAAATTTCACCTCAAATCACCAAGCTCAGAAATTCTATAACTCAAAATACATCTGAGGATTCAGTCAAAGAAGACTGTTTCCTTTTACTATAACAACAATGTACAGTTTTGTCCTCTGTTTTGAAAAAAAAAGGATGGAGATAAGTAAGTTCCTGCCGAAATACTTGGGTCTCAAGTATTTCACAAATAAAAGCTATGTTACATTCATTAATTCAACCACTGCAACTGCCCTGACCTAGAAATAAACCCTAATACTGGCTTAACTTCCTACTTGATTTCTGATTTCTATACTACCAGTATGAATTTAATTCAGTCTTATAATAAGAAAATAAATTCTAGTAGTACATAGATCCCAAAACTATCACTAATAATAACTTTAAATACAAAGTCTTAAATTAGACAAGGTAGTTCTGGGTACTTTCCTCTTTTCCTTTCCCACCTTCAAAGAAAATACTCCCTACCTTTTAAACCAAGCATATACATCTCGTTTCCAAGGAATTTTCCCTATCTGGTTTCCCCAACCCACTCCCCACAACTAACACCACCAACTCATCATCTTTCTGACACAGTTTCACTCACCAAGGCTAAAAGCCAGGGCCACATCTACAATCACACAGCAATTACAGGAACATTTCCTATAAGGCCTACCAACCAAGCAGTTCTCTCCCTCAGCCTATCTGAAATCAGGATCCAACTCTCTATTTGGGCTTACAAATATCTATGATGCATAAATACATTTTCAATTAAAAAAGTTAAACAATACTCACCTTGCAATCTTTAAAAGGAGTGGTTTTTGACTGATTCCTGCTAAAATACTCATCTATGCACACTTGAAACTTTTTGGAAATGAGAGCTCCATCCTCCCAGCTGCACTCTGAGTATGGAAGGCCCTGCCATTTGCAATAATAATCAGGATAACCAGCTGCAGACTTTTGATTGGAATGAGCTGTGAGATAAATCAGGTATTTATTTATTTTTTTTACATTGAATCTTATCCAAGGAATAATTCTCGGTAAAAACTACACAAGTAAAAATTAGCCATCTGGTTTACAATACTCTATTATAGTAAGAGTAAGCTACTGTATTTGATGTTTAAGTAGTAAATTTAAGGTTTTTTCAGATGATTTCAAGCATGGAAAGATAAAAGTTTAATTAGAATCATTTATTACTAACCAATTATTCGCTCCACTATTTGATATTGCTTATGTAGATCATCTGTAAGTTCTTGCTGGCAATTATAATATTCCACATCTTCTGGAGAAGCATTTTTCAACCTGAAAGAATATTAATCCAGGAATAGACTTCAAAATCTCCCCTAAATAACCCATCCCCCCCAAACACTATCTGTAGCACAAAAATCTCTCATTTTACCACTTATCACGTGAGCCAGTTAAGATAATGAAGTCTCATTTTACCACTTATCAGGTGAGCCAGTTAAGATAATGAAGAAATTGAAACAGAAATAAACCATCATTAGTTTTTATCTTTAAAAATTTGTAATTTGTAATATATGAGACAGCATTCTATGTGACTGTTATCAAGGAGAGGTTTAGATATGGCTATTCCCAAGAAGTTTTACCTTAAGATGAAATACAAATAAATCTATAAACAGTTATTTTAGGTTATCATCTGATTCTTGACTATGTAGTCTTCATTAACAAAAAAGCTTAGTAATAATCTTTGAACTATAAAGAAATAAGTACAGTATAAAACATATTTACCATCTTTTTGTTTCCTGATCTTTTTTCTTATAATTATCCAATTTTTTCATTCCTCTAACATTCTGCTGCTTAAGGGTTTCTTCTGTCTCCCAAGTATTGTGGATATGGGACCATCCTTTCCATTTAATTAAATACTGGATCTCTCCTGCTTCCTTGTTTTTTTCAAATCCTGCATTTGGGTCGCCATCTGCTTCAACTGCATAGATGGTTGTAGTAGCACCAGTAGCTGAAAAGGAAAGCATGATACATTCCACGTGATTCTGTTACAGGAGTATTTCAACTCAAAAACTGAAGAATATGAGTAGAAAAATATATGCTCTCTTAAATAAGTAAAGTATCAGGGTACAAGAATTTATGGAAAATTATATTACACATATATAAAAGAAACAGAATTTTAGAACAGAAAGATTATCTCATTTAATCCCCTAAGTTTTAAAATGAGAAAAAACAAAGTCAAAAGACAGTGGCATACCTATGATTATGAAAAAATTTACAATAACTGATGACTGGGAGACTGATAAGTGGAAGCTAAAATAATTAAAAATCATCTTTGAAAATCGCATGTCTCGGGGCCGGCCCGGTGGCGTAGTGGTTAAGTTCCCACGCTCCGCTTCGGTGGCCTGGGGTTCACAGGTTCAGATCCTGGGCGTGGGCATATGCACCACTGATCAAGCCACGCTGTGGCGGCATCCCATATACAAAACAGAGGAAGATGGGCACAGATGTTAGGTCAGGGCTAATCTTCCTCAGCAAAAAAGAGGAAGATGGGCAATGGATGTTAGCTCAGGACTGATCTTCCTCAAAAAAAAAAAAAAAACTGCATGTCTGAAGTTACCATGTGGAAGAGATAGCTGCACCTCCATGTTCACTGCAGCATTATTTATAACAGCCAAAACATGGAAACAACCTAAGGGTCCATCAACAGATAAATGGATAAAGAAAATGTGGAACATATAATGGAATACATTCAGCCATAAAAAAAGCAAATTCTGCCATCTGCAACAACATGGATGGATCTTGAGGGCATTATGCTAAAGTGAAATAAGTCAGACAGACAAAGACAAATACCATATGATCTCACTTATATATGGAATCAAAAAACACAGAAAAAGAGATCAGATTTGTAGTTAGTGGGGTGAGGAGAGAATATGATGAAGCTGGTCAAAAGGAACACAATTCCAGTCATGAAATAAGTTTAGGTGCTGGGGATGTAATGTACAGCATGGTGACTATAGTTAACACTGCTATACAGTATATCTGAAAACTGCTAAGAAAGTAGATTCTAAAAGTTCTCATCACAAGGGAAAAAATTTCTTTTTTTAAAAACATTGTATCTATACGACATGACGGATGTTAACTAAACTTACCGTGGTAATTGTTTTGCAATATATGTAAGTCAAGTCATTATGCTGTCCACCTTAAACTTACACAATGCTGTACATCACTTACATCTCAATAAAACTGAACAAAAAAAATGTATGTTAAGATAACTAAAAGTAACCTACATAATTGAGATGAAACAAAAAAAAATTTTTTTTTAAACCAAATCGTTTGTGAAATTTAACGTACCTAAATAAGAACTATTATTTTCGCAAGGCAACAGAAAAACTCAAATATACAGGTTAAAAATTTTCTAATTATCTGCGATATAAGAAGTGAGATCAAGTGGATATTTTCTGGGAAGAAAACACTCAGGCTAATAAACAAAGTATATTTTACACCAAATAAGTAAAACAGAAGAAAATCCACCCTCTTGGCTTTCAAAATTAAAACATCTTCAAGAAATACTTTATTTACTCTACTAAATATTATTGAAACAACCAGGCAATAAACATGTTTAAAAAAAAAAATACCTCCTTTTCTCCCAATCCGACAATCCATAAACCGTTCTATTGTTTCAAATTCCTCTTCCTCAGGTTGAGGAACATCCTCTCCACAGACTTCCAGTAGGTCATCAGAATCTGTTTTCATTTCTTCATCTTCCTTATAGCTAACATTGACAGTTGCTTGGCGACGAGAACTTCTTTTATCATTATCATAATCTTCTTCATCATCATCCTCCTCCTCAGATGAATCAATCTGTCTCTTTTTTTGTCCAAGAATCTTCTTTCCACTTTTTGACTTAGATCTAGGGAAGACCAGGGGAGAGAGGTGTTTTACAGAAACACTGGCATAAAACAAGATTTGAGAAAGTATACACAAAAAGGATGAATATCTTCTGTAACCAACTATTTTCAGCATCAAACAGAGAACATACTATACTTACCTATTTTGAGGTTTTCTGCTTTTAACTTTGTTTTTTGGCTCATAATCAGATTCTGTTTCATCACAACTACTTTTATCTCTATCTTCTTCAGATTCTGAATCTGAACCAGACTGAGATGGAGATCCCGACCCAGACATCTGCCAATCTTCACTGTAGATAAAATATATAAAGTATGTTTGTTTATACTTACATCATATAGCAAATTTTGTCTCCGACACAAAAATAATCAAACTAAATTACATTCCAGTTAATATCAAAAATATTGTTGCTTGCACCTATACTAAAAATATTAAAATGTCTGCAGAATAAGGAAAATACTGGAAAATATCCTTCATTGTTATCTCCCATAACTCCAGAGTTTTGATAATCATTTGGTTATATCTCAATTATTGGCAAATAAGTAAATGTTATTTTGATGATCACTATGGATGAAAACATAATACGCTAATTTAAAGAGTTTAAAGGGTTTAATTTTGAAAATCTTGTATTAATTATCATACCCTCTGAAAAAAAGATTCTAATCCTTTTCATTTTAATTTTCTGGAAACTGTGATTTTTAAAAATATACTCTTCAAAACTGATTTTTAAAAAAGTACATGTGGGGCCGGCCCCGTGGCTTGGCGGTTAAGTGCGCGCGCTCTGCTGCTGGTGGCCCGGGTTCGGATCCCGGGCTCGCACCGACGCGCTGCTTCTCCGGCCATGTTGGGGCTGCGTCCCACATACAGCAACTAGAAGGATGTGCAACTATGACATACAACTATCTACTGGGGCTTTGGGGGAAAAAATAAATAAATAAAATTATAAAAAAAATAAATAAATAAAAAAGTACATGTTCATTAAGAAGCTTAAAATATAGTATAGAAAAATGTAAAAAAAAAAAAAAAAAACCAGCCCATCTTAACCACAATACCTTACCTTTACTACTATTTTTTAGTGTATTTAGTCTGTTTAATTCCAGTCACAAGTAGAGAAGAAATACTGGATGCACATGTTAACATTCTGCTATAATATAATCTTCATAGGAAAGACACACATGAAGTTCTTATATATACACTGTATCCTATCTCACAGCTACTGCTGGCTACTCGATCGCTCTGTATCTCTTGCATAAGGGATGTTAATGGTTACATAAGCAAGCACATATGATAAAATCTGGTTTATGATAAAAACCAGATCTAAAAACCAGATTTATGATAAAAACCAGATCTAAAAAAAAAATTCTTTTTTATTTAGAGATCTTTTCAGAGTTTGCACATCAGAAGTAGCAATAGGCAGGATATATGAACAAGTCTCCATTTTATATTTTTATAATATAAATTACAATGATTTATCCATCATCCCAAACTACTCTTTTGTTTTTAAAAATATTCTTTGCTTGCACCCATGCTAAGTTTAGAAATTACTAACTCTGTGGAAGAGTGACAGAGCTGATGAGACACAGTAGTTGAAAATGCACTTAGTAAACTAGAAGACAGATCTAAGGAAATTAGCCAGAATGTAGCATAGCAATAAAGGGATAAAAAACATGATACAGTAAGATTCATGGAGGATAGGATGGATGATCTAATAGATATATACAACAGATAAGATCCAAAAAGACAGATACAATATATATCTATTGGTAGTACAGGCATACTTCAGGGATACTGCGGCTTCAATTCCAGACCACTGCAATAAAGTGAATGTCGCAATAAAGAGAGTCACAAGGATTTTTTGGTTTCCCAGTGCATGTAAGTTTACACTATACTGTAGTCTACTAAGTGTGCAAAAACATTATATCTAAAAAAACAAGGTACATACCTTAATTAAAAAATACCTTACTGCTAAAAACTTCTAACTATCATCTGGTGGAGGGTCTTGCCTTGATGTTGACGGCTAGTGACCCATCAGTGTGGTGGCTGCTGAAGGCTGGGGTGGCTGTGGCAATTTCCTAAAATAAGACAACAATGAAGTTTGCTGCATTGCTTGACTCTTCCTTTCATGAACTCTGTAGCATGCAATGCTGTTTGATAGCATTTACCCACAGTAGAACTTCTTTCAAAACTGGGTTTTGGGATCAATCCTCTCAAACCCTGCCACTGCTTTATCAACTAAGTTTATGTCATATTCTAACTCCTTTGTTGTCATTTCAACAATCTTCACAGCTTCTTCACCAGGAGTAGATTCCATCTCAAGAAACTACTTTCGATTTGCTCATCGATAAGAAGCAACTCCTCATCCATTAAAGTTTTATCATGAGATTGTAGCAATTCAGTCACATCTTCAGGCTTTACTTTTTTTTTTTTTTTTTTTTTAAAGATTTTTTATTTATTTTTTGCCCCCAAAGCCCCAGTGGATAGTTGTATGTCACAGCTGCACACCCTTCTAGTTGCTGTATGTGGGACTCGGCCTCAGGATGGACAGAGAAGTGGTGCCTCGATGCGCACCCGGGATCCAAACCCGGGCCGCCAGCATCGCAGCGCGCGCACTTAACCACCAAGCCACAGGGCCGGCCCCAGGCTTTACTTTTAATTCTAGTTCTCTTGCTATTTCCACCACATCTCCAATTACTTCTTCCACTGAAGTCCTGAACCCCTCAAAGTCATTCATCATGAGAGATGAAATCAACTTATTCCAAACTTCTGTTAATGTTGATATTTGACCTCTTTTCAAGAATCACAAATGTTCTTAATGGCATCTAGAATGGTGAATCCTTTCCTGAAGGTTTTCAATTTACTTTGCCTAGATCCATCAGAAGAATCACTATCTATGGCAGCTATAGCCATATGAAGCATAGTTCTTAAATAATAAGACTTAAAAGTTGAAATTACTCCTTGATTCATGAGCTGCAGAATGGATATTGTGTTAGCAAGCATGAAAATAACATTAATCTCATTGTACATCTCCATCAGAGCTCTTGGGTGACCAGGTGCATTGTCAATAAGCAGTAATATTTTGAAAGAAATCTTTTTTCTGAGCAGTAGGTCTCAATAGCAGGCTTAAAATATTGAGTAAACCATGTTGTAAACAAATGTACTGTCATCCAGGCTTTACTACTCCATTTATAGAGCACAGGCGGAGTAGATTCAGCATAATTCTTAAAGGCCCTAGGATTTTCAGAATGGTAAACCAGTGAGTATCGACTTCAACTTGAAGTCACCAGCTGCTCTGCAATAGCCCCTAACAAGAGAGTCAGCCTGTCCTTTGAAGCTTTAAAGCCAAGCATTGACTTCTTCTCTCTAGCTATGAAAGGCCTAGATGGCATCTTCTTCCCATAGAAGATTGTTTCATATACATTGAAAATCTGTTGTTTAGTGTAGCCACTTCCGTTATCTTAGCTGGATCTTCTGGATAACTTGATGCAAGCAGCTTCTACATCAGCATTTGCTGCTTCACCTTGCACTTTTATGTTACGGAGATGACTTCTTTCCTTAAACCTCATGAACCAACCTCTGCTAGCTTCAAACTTTTCGTCTGCAGATTCTTCACCTCTCTCAGCCTTCAAAGAATTGAAGAGAATTAGAGTGTTGCTCTGGATTAGGCTTTGGCTTAAGGGAATGTTGTGGCTGGTTTGATCTTATATCCAGACGACTAAAACTTTCTCCACATCAGCAATAAGGCTGTGTTGCATTCTTATCATTTGTGTGTTCAATGGAGTAGCACTTTTAATTTCTTTGAAGAACTTTTCCTTTGCATTCACAACTTGGCTAACTGTGTGGCACAAGAGGTCTAGCTTTCGGCCTATCTCGGCTTTCAACATGCCTTTCTCACTAAGCTTAATCATTTCTAGCTTTTAAGTGAGAGATGTGTGAGTCTTCCTTTTACTTGACCACTTAGAGGCCACTGTAGGGTTATTAATTGGCCTAATTTCAGTATTGGTGTGTCTCAGGGAATAGGGAGGCCCGAGGAGAGGGAGAGAGATGGAAGAATGGCCGGTTCACGGAGGAGTCTGAACACACACAACATTTATCAGTTAAGTTCACCCTCTTATATGGGTGCAGTTCATGGCACCCCAAAACAACTAGAACTGTAACATCAAAGATCACTGACCACAGATCACCATAACAAATATAGTAATAATGACAAAGTTTGAAATATTGAGAGAATTACCAAAATGTGACAGAGACCTAAAATGAGCAAATGCTGTTGGGAAAATGGCACTGACGGACTTGCTCAATGCAGTTGCCACAAACCTTCAACACGTAAAAAACCCAGTATCTGCGAAGCGCAATAAAATGAGGTATGCCTGTAGTACCAGAAAGATTTACAGAATGAGAAAGAGAACATGCCCAGAGATACAATGACTGAATTTTCAGAAACTAATCAAAGACACGAATTTTCACATTGAAGATGCAAAAAGTGCATAAAGTGGAATAAATAAATAACAAATCCAAAGCTAGACACACCAAAGTAAAAATGCAGAATGTCAAAGACAAATAGAAAAGTAAGAGAGCAGACAATGGAACAGTGTTTTTAAAGAAATGAGAGAGAAAAAAACTCAGATCATACAAATATCTGAATTGGGAATGTGAATTACTCTTATCACTTTGTGGGTCAAGATCTTTAGGAAACTACAGTGAGTTTCTAAATGAATTCTAGAGGATGTAAATGTCATTTGCAGATGAATAGTAAGGAGAGGTACTGACATAAATGAACAGAATCACCCAAAGTCTATCATCTGCTGACCCTTACACTCCTATATAGGTTTCCCAAGTTACTAACATTTTCTGATATTATGATAAGGTAGATCTTTGAAGTTTAAAAACATAGGAGAGGGATTATAGGAGATAAACAAGTGGCACAAAAATCTCAGGTCATCACAGAAAAGTGAATGTTAAGGATTAACGGTTTAAATTAATCTAATAAAATGCCATGAACCAAGAATTTACAAAAGACCTCTTTGGGCAACAATTTTTCATAAACAAAGAAATACAAAATCATTAGGATTTGCCTGATACAAAAGTAATCAGTTGAACAAAATGACATACTCTTTATGCTTTTTCCTTTTGACCTCACTCGATGAATCATCAGAATCTTCACTGCTAGAGGAATCCTATAGAGAAAAATAAAGTTAATGTTATTAATGATTAGAATTTAACTGTTATGTAAAATTTTTGCTTGCCATACTATTTAATTTTCACTTGGCTAATAGCAGTAACTGTAAAGCTTCATTTTTTTCCATGTTGTTATATTTATACCATTAATTAGCAAATAAAGTAATAACATTTTTACTGCATATTTATAACCCAGCCAGTGAAATTAAGTAAATATCATAATGTCAGCATTTTGTATAAAACTTTAAAATCTACCATCTCTGGGGACCATTATTGTTGCCTAGAATGACCTTAAAAAGGAATCATCATTGTTGGTATGTCAAATTTTGATCTAATATTTTTCTTCCCCATTAGACAGTTTTTGATATAGTTCTTCCTGAATGTTTTTGTGCCAACACACATGTATGTGAGCTCATATGCACACAGGGACTACACTGTTTACAGCTGCAGCCTATTCTTTTAAAAATATGTTGAGAATTCTATTATTATTCCATATAAATATGATTTAATAGTACAATATTTCTTAGTTCATATATGTATGTGCATACATATGTGTTTGTGTATGCATATTTCCCTAGTACTCACATTTAGTTTATTTCTAGTTTTGCTGTGATGAGTAAATGCACACAAATTTCCATTGCTTGTTTTGGATTAATCTCTGCAAGTGGAACTATTGGATAAAAATGTGTCTATATTTCAAGACTCTTGATACACATATTTAAATGTAGTTATTTCCTATCTATTCTTTCAAAACACTTATTGTTTCTAATAATTTCATATATATCTACCTAGTAAAAAATTGTCTACTTTAAAAAATAATAGCTTTCATAATAAAAACTCACCTCTTCTGATCCACTATTAGATGAAGCTTGATGCTGCTGCTGTTGCTGCTGCTGCTGCTGCTGCTTCTTAAGCATTGCAGATCTCTGAACCGCCAGAATACTAGGGCTAGATTTCCAAAACTATAATAGAAGCATTAATCAGTGACGGATAAAGGTTTGAGAAAACTGAAAAAAAAGTTAATTTCTTGAAAAGCAGTATCAACTTTTTCACCACCTCCAAATAAAGGAATTAAAACTATTTTCCTTATTCACATTATATGTAATACAATATTATTGTAATATAATTAAAATAAAATGCTAAACTTTAGTTGCATTTAAAAAATTTATGGTATGTTGAGTTTCACAGACAGATAATATTAATCAATATGTTCTTTGGTGATAATGGTATTATTTTCAAAAACAAATGATAATCTGCAATACTAGTGCTACTCAAAGTGTGGCTGCCTACTTTTTCACTTGGTGTGAGGTGAAGATGAAGAGCTGGAGTCAGAATGCAAATCAACTATGTCACTAAGCACAGTTTTAGTTCAGCTGACTTTTTTTTTTTTTTGGTAGCAAGATTTTCTCCATGAAGTAAGCTGTGTGTTGATTTATATTCTGGCCCAAGCATCTTACCATCACTGGTACTCTAAGTAACACTACTGTATACTGTTATGAGGTACAGACAAGTTTTAGTAAATCTTGTAGTAGCTTTTATTCAAACAGAATGGCCCTGAACTTATTCTATCAAGCATTTTCAAGAAAGCAGAGTTCTACTGAATTCTCCTGCTATTAGCAATAAAGTATCTTCTTTGAAGATCTTGAAAGTAGAGATCAGACACTAAGATTAACAAAAAGACCTTACACAGTCTTTAATTTTTATCCATGAGACATTGAATATTTATGAAACTCAATTTCTGCCTCAGAAAGAAGAAAAGGTTTTGCGTGTTTATCTTATACTTGTTTTATAGTTACAGACTGCTTCTCTTCCAAGCCAATCAGTCCACAGATATGTAACAAGTTTGAGAATAGTTGAAAATAAAATTTAATGTTTAAAATTAATGTTTTCTAAAAGCTAGAACAATGCTATAAACCAATGCTATAAAAATGTATAAGTGACACCAAGAATCACAAGTAATATAAAAGTATTACAAAGCAATACAAGTAATTACAAGAAATCTACTTTTCATTGGATACTTTATTTATTACCTCAGCTCCATCAACTTTTGGTGGTTTTGCTTGGACTTTGTTTTCTCGGGAAGTGTCTGACTCAGACTCTGACTGACTGCCCGATTCAGATCCAGAGTCAGAGTCACTGCTACCTGACTGGCTACTGCTTCCATCACTACTGCTTCCAGAACTTGAACCGGAACCAGAGCCTGAAGCTGACCCAGAATCATCATCCGACTGGCTACAATTTGAAAATAAACAGATTTCAAACAAAATTCATTAGGAATTTAATTTTTCTTAAAAGTCAACAGAAATCCCCAAATCACTAAACTTTGCTTATTTCCTATTTCATATTTCTATAGCCAAACAAATAGAAAAAGGAATTAATGTTAATCTACAGTAACAAATGACATACTTGATAGATTTAGTACAGTTTTGGCTAAAACATAAGCAATCAGATCATAATCTTCCTCCAAGACAATGAGCAAAATCTACTAAGTACAGAATCCTGGGCTAGAAACTAGGGAAGACAAAAAGTTTAAGCCACAGTCTCTACTCTTAAAAGGCTCTTTAGCTGTAGTTAATATAAAGTAGGAATTGTGTGTAAAGAAAAGGTTAAATGTGTTGAAAATTCTCAAAGTAACAGGTAGAAAAGAAATTTATTAGTAGTTTCTACTTGTTTTCAAGTTTATCTCTATGGTCTATCATTCCAGGGTAATGGAATTTATCATAATTAAGCTATGATAAAATACAACTTACTAAAAAATAAAATCAGTAATTGCTTCTCTGAGAAAATCACTGACTCTGTCATGGTTCCACAGTAATAAGTCTAAAATAATAGCAAATTCTCACCATCTTTCCTAACCTCTATACACACACATGTGGAAGTTCATTGGGAAACTATCTTTTTCTCCATTACTCATTTTCAGTCCAAGGTAGCCTAGAACTGGTTTGGACTAAACAGCTGATTGTGTAAATTGCTATTATCCCCAAGGCCATTTGTTCACATGGTGTCTACAATTGAATTGTTGAAAACTAGGGTATTAAATTTTTGATACAATGGTAGACTCAGCTTTTGATTTAATTTCATCTGGCTTTATGAGAAACAACAGGTAATGTAGTTTATGTATATACAGCAAAACTCAAGCTTCATGTCCTCTGCTGTAATTTTCAGAAATACCACCAGATGGAAGTATTACTCTAAGAAAACAGACTGCAATATTAAAAGTAATTCCCTTCCTTTTTTTTTTTTTTGTGAGGAAGATCAGCCCTGAGCTAACATCCATGCTAAACCTCCTCTTTTTGCTGGGGAAGACCGGCCCTGAGCTAACATCTATTGCCAATCCTCCTCTTTTTTTCCCCTTTTTCTCCCCAAAGCCCCAGTAGATAGTTGTAGGTCATAGTTGCACATCCTTCTAGTTGCTGTATGTGGGATGCCGCCTCAGCATGGCCAGACAAGCAGTGCGTCAGTGCGCGCCCGGGATCCGAACCAGGGCCAGCAGCAGCGGAGCGCACGCACTTAACCGCTAAGCCACAGGGCCGGCCCCAAAAGTAATTCCTTTCTAAAAGTAATTTCTCCTTTTCCAGAGCAAGGAGTTAAGAGCTTCTACATGAAAATACAGACATACAAGTTTGCAAGAAGACTTTTGATTCCAAAAGTTAGATATAAATTAAAATGCTTAAATTGCGAACACACACAATTTTAAAATCTGGGAATCTAGCAGAATAAATGCGTTTCTTCACAGAAACAGTAAACAAAGATTTGCCTCTTAAAGGCTATGATATCAAGATCATTTTTGTCATAATTTCTATTCTCTGGTCATATGGTTCTGAGGTCTAAAAACAATATAGTGCTTTTTAATTAAAATAAAAAACTTACCATATTTTACTTGGGTCCCTTGAGAGAAATTTCAGCAAGAATATTAGAGAAGATGTTTTCCCTGACACACAATTTTATTTCTCCTTAAACCCTCCTTAAACCCAATGAAAGAGACATCTTTCATTTATTCAATAAACTTTATGAGAACTATCATGTATTAGGTACAGGGAAGAATGAGATGAGACAAAATCCTTAACATTAAAAGAACTTCTAACCTGGTATGGAGAGACAGTCATGTAAACCAATATCACTCTGTGCTGTGTTTAAAATAATTGATCCAGGTATACGGGGAGCACTGAAGATACAACCAAGGCTGGTACAGCAATTGGGGAACATTTAGAAGAAAGTGCAGTTGAACTAATTCTTTAAGAATCAAGCAGAAGGTACGGTATGACTTTGATTGCTTATAAGCTTCTTGAGGGTGCTATTTTTTCCATAGTACCTACCATAGTGCCTTACACAGTGGGTGCCCAATAAATACTTGAAAAGTCTATGAATGAATAATTGAATTTAGGGGACTATCATGGGCCTATATTCTCTTTTTTTGCGTGTGAGGAAGATCAGCCCTGAGCTAACATCCATGCCCATCCTCCTCTTTTTACTGAGGAAGACCGGCCCTAAGCTAACATCCATTGATGGGCCTATATTCTTAATTATATCTTGATTAGTCATTCCAGATAAACAGCTACCCAAAATTTCTTGTCAATAAATCAAAATTTTTAAGTGAATGTAGGAATCTTTCCTTTCAATATTTTTTAGGCAGAAGTAGTTCTGGCTGAAGATAAAAGCAAACAGCCTGAGTCTAGGCTAATCTAATGGCAGAGGTTTATTACTAGAATGGCTTTACCTCAGGTATTAGAAGTATAAAGTCTTTATTTCCTTTATTTAGTTGTTCTCAGTAGGATTAAGATATACAAAGAATTGGTAAGGAATATCTTATACACTGCCATAGAATGATCTCCAGGATATAGTTAAGTAAAAAAAGCAAGATACAAAACAATGTTTATAGTATGCTTCCTTTGTGTAAGAAAGGGAAAATATTTATACATATTCGCTTACACTTTTAAAAAAGCAATAATGGCAGCATAAACTAACAAGTTAAAAATGGTTACCTAAAGAGGGAGGGAGGACCGGAAGGAGGGAAGAGAGTAGAGGGAACCAGGATTGAAATGAGTGGTCAGTTTTAGAGCCATGTAATGTTTTACAAAGTCTATTTTAAAAGAATATTCTAAAAATTAGAAGAAAAATATACACAGGTTCGGGGGGAAAAAATCTATATTCAGACACAAAATTTTGAGCTAAAATAGGTGAAAAGCCTCTCCCTGATAAAGCAATTCTATTTTCAGCCCACTGCTGGAAATGCTCTTTCTAGAATAAAAATCTGAGCATAGTCTAACTTTCTTTTATAAGACTTCAGTGTTTCTATAGCAAAGTTCAAACACCTATGAGGCCTTTCAGGAATTTGTCTTTGCCAACCTATCTCCAGTCAGTTTCCCACTTAAACCCTTAGTTATAGCGATAGCAAACTACTTGTAATTCTCTGACAGCCAGTTTCTCTTTCTACTTCCTGCTTCTGCCCAATTACTTCTCTTCTCTTCTCACTATATAATTCCCACTTGAGCCTCACCTCATGGGTACTTCTCCAACAAATCTCTCCTGACTCCATTCTCAACTCAACATTAAGTTAGGTATCCTTCCTCACCATTCCCAAAACATCCTGTACATACTATCTTAGCTGCAAGCACACCATGTAACAATAACCGTAGTTTTCTGTTTTCTTTTGTTTTTCGGTATCCTACCTTTGGTATTCTATCATATGTTCCTAGAGTGTTGGGATTTTTACTTGTTGCCCTTTGTATGTTGAGCACTAAATGAAGAGCTCAATATGTCTGATGGGTGGATGGATGTATACATAAACAAACCAAAGACATATATGGGTACAAATTCTCGTATAAAATTCACAAATATAATTTGGCTATAAGAAATATTTCTGAGCTCCAACTAACTTTATTTAGATAATAACCAGTACCACTGATCTTTTATACAACATAAGTATCTGCACACTAAAGAGTTATCCTTATTAATTACATTAAGTCTCACTAGCACAATAAAGTAAACACATTTCTTTTCCTCATCTTTCTCAATTTACAAAAGAAAACCCACCATCATATTTATGGGTACTTTGATAAAATTATATTGTTTTCTTAGGGTAAATTAAGGAGAAATACCACATTTAAAAGACAAAATAGCAATTCAAATTAAAGTTTCTTTTCAAGCTTGTTTTTATATTCAATTTCAAATATAAACAAGAGAGCAATATAATGAATTACCATGTAGCTATCACTCAGCTTCACAATTACCAGCTCATACCAATCTTCAAATAATCCAGCTTCCCACACACACACAATCTCAGACATTTTAGAACTTCATCCATAAATACTCCAGTATTCCTATATTAAAAAATCTCACGTTGTAGATGTTTGTGAAAATCTACAATACCAGTATCATACCTTTAAAAAGTCAGTTGCGCCTTAATATTAAATATGAAATTAAATATTAAGTATCCAGGTCAGTTTACCTCTTTAGTAGCATGACTTTGTTTCTTACATTGACTGAGAATTCAAACAAGGTTCAACACTGCACTTGAATCATGTATTTCTTAAGTCTCTTTCATTAATCTGACAGTTCCCTCTCCCTCTTCTTATTCCCCCTTGCAATTTATTTTACGGAAGAAATTCGGTAGTTTTTCCTGTAGACTTTCCTGCTTTCCAGATTTTGCTGACTGCATCTCTGTGGTATTATTTAACATATTTTTCTGTCCCTTGTATTTCTTATAAACTGTTAGATCTAGAGTTAGGTGTTTCTTGGCAAGAATATATTTTAAGAGTTGTTGCGGACTTCTATCAGAAGGAACTTAATGTTTGGTTGGCTCTTTTTGTGTAAGGTTAAGTTTAATCTGTGGGTTCGGGTATTTTCAGCCTTATCCATCCATTATACAGTTCCCCATAAGCTCTATACCTAATGGTTTTAGAAGCCAGTGATCATATGGCTTCATCGACTATTTATTTAGAAGCAGTAAAATGGTGATATTATATCATTTCTTCACTAATAACGGTGGAATCCTTGTATAAAGAGAAATTTTCCTTCAACATATTTGTTAACCTTGAGGTACAATTCATACAGGAAAGACACTTTCACTTCTTTTCCTTATTTCCTAGTTTTCAAAATGAGTTAAATTGCTAGCTAGCATCCTTTCAAAATAGATCAATAATTTAAGTCTCATTATGAACTCACGTATTTGAAATTAATTGATGAGTTTTAATCTACTGTCAACATCATTGTTGATTCCCAAATTGTCCCATCT